TATATATAATTAATGTTTGATAGTATTAGATTAAAAGGAGAATTAGAAAGAGTACTTTATCAGTATTAAAAATATCTTATATCTTATATCTTATCATCTGTACCTTATCTTGAAGAATGAGTTCACCATTTTGATAGCCGGAATGTTCATGAAAGGATGTCAAGGGCGGAAAAGCAAGCACTTCCGGTATATGAAAATCTTGTATAAAGTAGGATTCCGATAATTGTGATAAGGTTTGCAGATATGAGGAATATGTTGTACTCCTGCATAATAACTGCCATCCCTCTTTTTGGAAGAAGGAGATGGCTTTCTCCACTGATAATAAAAGAGTGTTGACACGGACGTATCGAGGCTTTTGCACTACATAAAAAAAAAAATTTTATTTTTTATTTGAAATTTTCTTCTGCATCATAATACTTATGATATTATTATAATAAATAATTCATTTCTTATATATTTGATATGATTACAACCATAAAGAAATGTATCGTGTTCCTAACAATAGAATTAGTCATCTTGTTAATGATTAGTAATCATATTATAACTTTTGGTACAAAAAATACATTGAATTTTTCAATTAATTTAATGGCAATGAATATATATGTAGTAATAAAATTTTATTTTTCTGTAGTATCTCAGAATACAATCATATCTGTGTGAAATGTCGCATAGTAGATCATCATTGACAAGAACAAAAAAATTTATTTTAAATGTATTATTTTCTAAAACAAAATTTCAGAAAAAAAAAAATATACACACACACACACACACACACACACACACAAAATTGTTTAAATGTCATTCTACATATTTATCATACACAAGAACTAAAAAAAATGTGCCGTTCTATGAATCAAGCATAATAATAATCTGAATTTTAAAAAATATATATATTGTCAAAATGAGCATCCATGTATTTTATACATTTTTTTGCATTTTTAAAACCGAGAAAAATAGTTAGTGTTCTGTTTCTGAAAATTCACCGTATATTATATTATTATTATTTATTTTGAGAATACAAAATTTAACATAGCATAATTCTAAAAAGAACAGGCTTGAAACAAGAGACAATATTTATTTTTTATATAAATCAACCAAAACCGTTTCCTTTTTATAAATCTTTACAATGATATATTACATATGCTTATGTAATGTTGACAACAAAGAATTATAAACTAATATTTATATTAATGTAGTGCTATTTTTTGCTGATATAATATAGAATATCTTGCTTTTTTTTTGATTATTAAGTTTTTTCTCCACATTTTTTATAATTAATAATAATATATATACATCAATTATACACAAATGTATTTGCTTAACTAACAAAAAGGTTGTCTTTTCCATAATATAAGAAATCTCTGATAAGATCTTTATCAAAGAGAAAGTTATTTTAATCAACTTTCTTATTCAAACTCTCTTTAGATTCTACTCTATCTTCATTCTGTTCTTTCTCTTCAATGGACTCATGTAGAGCCTGATAAGCATAACAAGAGATAATAAGGTTCACCATGATCACAGCAGCCAGCACAGAAACACAATTAGTCACAAAAGTATCGGTCTGGAATTCTAAAGTCATGAAATGTTGTATCCCGAAAAAGGCAGCAAATGGTAAAGTAAACATCGCAATACTATATAGAAATAATGTTCCCATGACTTCCACCAGACCCATTGCACAGTTATTCTTTTTGTCACAACTCGGATCCTGACGACAGGATTTTTGATGATCCCACAAATTTTTGATGCCAGCTCCTTTGTTCTGTCTACTGGACAGTATTCTGCAGTTGCGAATAATCAGGACCATGAAGGAAAAGATCTCTACTGCACAATGATGATTCTCCAAAGATCAAATCTCTGCAAAAATGCAAGCATGTCGTGATTATTGGGCAGCGAAATGGCACAATTACCTTTTTCTTTATGAGAGATGAAAGTTTCTATGTAGTTGAGGTTTTTCAACTCTTCTTGCAACTTCTTCTCATAAGCTAGCACAGTTAAAACTGGTTTGGAGTGACTCTTTAGGCATTTTTTGCCCCATAGAAGCTCTGTTATGAGAACACTAGCTAGCCAGGGATCCAAACGCGGTTGCTCTGTGAGAATGTGGGTCTTGTGGAAGAGTTGATCTAAGTGAGGCAGCATTCGCAAGGTATTCATTGAGAGACCATATATGCCGGCTATGTTCTAAATCGCAAAGGCAGCAAAATATGTCATATGTGAAATCTGTTTTCTTCTTCTATTAAATAATATACAGGATAATATTCTGTTAAATAATATCCTCATACCAGTAGTACAATCAAAAAGGGAATAATTTCTCATGAAAATATATGTTTAAAATATGAAATAAAATATTTTTTTATACAGTTTTCAAGAAAAATGATTTAAAAAATAAGAAAGTAATATATAAGATATTTAAGCTTTTTAAAATTTGAATAATCTTCAATGATTTTATTATATGCTATCAAATTTGTCTCAACAGTAGTTATTAGAATATAAATTTAAAAAAGAGATAAAACATTTAATTTATATAAAATAAAGCAATTTAAAATAATTTAAATTACTAAAGTAGTTGTATAAAAAAATTAAAAATGTTAATTATAAGTTATAAAAATATTAATATTACTCTTTTGCCTTTTCTATAAAATATATTCTTTTACACATTTTTATAATTTTATAGAGTCAGGGTCGAGACAAATTTAATACATATATGTAAAAAAAAAAATTATTCGAATTTAAGATAGTTTAAGAAATAAACACACACACCTACAAAATTATGTAAAATTCACTTTTTCACAGAGCATTATATATATAAACTTTTCTATTCTTAAAGTAATTCCAAAAACAAACCTCCTAAAAAAATTGTTTTTTACATTTTTCATTTATTTATTCATGAGAAATCATTCCTTTTTCAATAGTATTATCTAAGACACCTTGTATATCGATAGTATGATCAATAACTTAATTAATTATTATGAGATCAAATAATAAAAGAATTCTATGTTATATAATACAATATTGTTGAGTTTGCCTTGCACATTGTAAAAATGTACAGAAACAATAAATACATAATTTATTTTAAATAAAAAAGTTGATAATCTTGACATTTTGAAGAAATAAATGTTGAAATAAATTATATCATTATACATATAGAGTTCGCTGTTTTTTCAAATAATGTATTTTTCTAATTTTTTTTTTTCTCTTCAAGAGCATTAGATGTTTCATCAATAAGATATTTAGATACTTAAATTATATATTCACAAACATAAAGCATGACAATATTTCGAAAAAAATGTTTGCAATATGAAAAAATGTTATTAGACAAGATTAAAATATACAAAAAATATTTTTCCAATGTGTCTATTCATATGTATTTATTCTCTTCTTTATGTGAAAAAGATTTCAAGGACATTAAGTCTTTTTACAAAGAAAATTTGTTCTTTTTTTTTTCTTTTTATAAATGATCTCTATTTCTCTTATGACACTTTATATACAAAAGTATTAAGACAAAGCCTTATTTAAAAAAATATCTATATAATACATGAAATTACTAAAAATTATAAAATTATGAAATTATGATACTAATAAAATTGTCACAAAAAGACCGCAGTTTTTTTCTATTTCTATATTTTGTGTAAAATCATTTTGAACTTACGGAATGATTCTTCTCGTAAATTAAAGTTTTTAGACTGGCACCATCCTCTTGCACGCGGCGTACAATATCGGCCGTGAATTTATAAATACGTGGAACCTTAACAGAATGTACGAATCCGGTCGACATATTATAAATTTAAGACTACTCAAGAATTATATTTTATCATGAAGATAATATATAATTAATGAAATTAATTCGTTGAACACCTTTATGAACAGTTTATCGCACAAATTAGGTTATTGTTCATGGAAGATGAAAGCCTTCCAACGAAAAGGGTGGGAACGTCCCATTTGACCACTAGACCACTTCCCAATTGATCACAGCCATTCATACCGACCGGTACCTAGGGCAACCAGCAACGATTGACCAATCAAAGAGTCTTATTTAAAATTGGCTAATTGGTAACGTGCCCAATCGAACTCAAAAAAGATACATATTGGGTGCTTTCCATTTAGTGACTCAAGTCGACACAAGCAGAGAGAAGCCTGAGAGAGGCAATGCCGACGATTTTCGCGGGACGCTTTTTCTAGGCCGTAGAGCAGCGCCGTGCATCCACTTTTAGGAATTGGAAACACTACTTTATAACTTCATAATGCCATTATGAACAAAAGCATTGTAATCCTAGTGTTAAACTTTAACGGTTCCGGCATAAATTAACAGTTACGGCCTGCATAAATCAGCCTTTAGGCTGGTATTCATAATCAGTTATTATTTCAAGACCGTCTTAAGGGCCGTCTACAATGGCAGTAATGCGGGGTCTACAATGCAGTCGTAAGAGCCCTAAAGGCTGGTTTATGCAGGCCGTAACTGTTAATTTATGCCGGAACCGTTAAAGTTTAACACTAGGATTACAATGCTTTTGTTCATAATGGCATTATGAAGTTATAAAGTTTATTTTATATATATATGTATTTCATATTTCCTTTATTTTTATATTTAGAAAAATTGTAAGTTGATTGGCTACCGTGTCTTTTTGCTCGCTGCAAATATTGCCGCGTCCTGTGAGCAGGAGCTTATTCAGACGGATCTGCACAGTCGTGTAAATATATGCAAGGAAATTGATTGGTTTACAAACAAATGCATAAGGAAATGGGTTAATCGATTTCCTTATGCATTGTTTATGCGATTATGCAAATCCGTCTGAATAGGCCCTTTAAATGAGATGCATCGGAATGCAATTTTGTTCGGCTCGGAATACGATTTTTTGTTCGGTTCCTTTCGGATAAACTCGGTTCGGCTACATACTTGTGATTGGTAGGTAGTGTTTCGAGCCACGTCAAACGCCAAACTGTTTCATGCACATCGAAATCGAAGTTGTTAGTAGTACATATGTACATACCGTGGTAGTACCTGGTAGTACCTCCTTTACCATTGCAGAATAGGTTTCGTCTATATATTTTATACGTTTATGGTCTCTGGCGCTTATATTATTCCAAAGGTAAGACCGCCATTTGTACGCGCCATCTGGCACTGGCAGTGACAAAGTACCGAATATATCGTGAATCCGCAGTTTCATTGAGTTTCCTTTCGTCGAAGACTTTGCTATCATTCTTCTCGTGTTGATGTTGATGCGCGACAAATCTCGCGAGCACGTAGCACGTCTTCGGGTGTTCCGAGGTTGATATTCGTTCTGCTTTGAAAATTAATTTATCGCAAACCTAACCTCAATTCTTGATTTTCGATTTGATAGTCATATTCTACGGAACATTAAATTTGAACTTTTTATCGTATGAGAAATTAATATTTAATCCTAATATTCGACTGTTAAACTTATTTTTTTGATAATACTTTTTTTAATTATAAAACAAAAAAAAGGAATTATTTTAATGGATATTTCTAAGTAGAGAGATTTTGTGTTGTGCTATTAGTTCAGGAATATATTCATAGCATATATTCATAGAATTTGTAATTAAAGTTTCCAATGAAATGAAAACCCCATTTAGAATCTATGATTCTTTGTACATATTTATTACACAATAATCCTTACTAACATTGGTATTGAGGATGAAGTGCTTTCTGTAACATTAGCAATTTTGCTAGAAATTGATTGGTTCAAAGTTGCAGTACATCATAAATGGAAAGGTGATTATAGTAGATACTATCAGAATGCATAGCAGCAAAACTGCAGCCGGCACTGAATTTTTCAGCAATTAAGGTATTTAATTTTGCTATGGAGATTTTGTGCAATGATATATAGATGTAATATAGAATAAAATGTAATGAAATTATAAAGAAGAAATGTCAATTTTGACTATACTTTTTATTTGCCATACAAATGTGTAGAACAAAAGTTCTAAACATATAGAATTGACATGATGTTTAACAATATTTTTATTTTACATGTACCATACAAATAGAAAACAAAGGAAGAGTTAAAAAAAATAAGAGATGCAACTGCTTGATATCGATAAATTAAGATTTTAGATAGGTTTAATATTTGTATATCTTACACACACATATATATATTTTACTTTTTTCTTAAATCTTAATTATTATCACGAATATTACAAATATCAAAAAGAAAGAGGAAGAATAATAAAGATGTTATATACATTTTACAGCAAAAAAATATACAGAAGATATCGGACTAAAATTAGCCACATGCTGGAGAGCAAGTTTAAATGATTCTGAAAAAAATGCCAAACTCTGAAATCAATAAGCGGGATCATAATTATAGTGAATCGGAACCACCTCAGAATGCCAACAATTCCGACAGTAGCACTATCAATAGGGAATCCAAAATGGCGCCTATTGTGGGCCAAATTAAGGATATCGATGAGCTGAAGAAGATTGCGCCACGCGTTCGACTACAAGATGCTAAGAGCCTAAATGAGTTGACAAGGATCTCATCCTTAAGTAACAATAACAGTAAATCACAGCAAAGCAAGGTGTCTGTTTCTGAAAGGACTCAGCAAGAATTAAAAAAATATTGTCGTACTTGTGCTGGTTTAAAATTACCCTTGGTACGTTTTACTTAAACATTAAATAAGATTGTATATACATATATATAATTTTATATAAAATATAATTCAAAAGAAAAGAAAATATCTAAGTAAATAATAATGTAAAATACATAAAGAGAAATGTATAAATTATATTAACTAAGGTAAATATAAATAGATAAACAATAATTCTAAAAAAGATTAATAACAAGTTTGGTCATTCTTTCTTGCGCTACATTACACTGGTGCATGCTAAAATCTGCTAGACATAAAATTATATGAATGTTAAACTATAATATAAACATGTCTATTTAATTGAATATCTAATAATATATGCATTATCATATGTTATTCAGCAGTTATTCAGAATATACACTAGTTACTTCATCATCAAAATGTTTACATTATGCCTGTAACTCGGACAACTTCATATATAGCAACTTTTAGTATGCTATGAGATGTAATACAAATGACTAAATATGCATTAAAACGGAAGAAAATCATAAATTATAATCATATAAGTAATTATAAGTAAAACAGCAAATTTTCTAAAACAGCAGAAGGACATTGAATCTATTCAGGACATTGAATCTATTCTATTCTCTTGACATTCGTGATTATCTATTATTAGAAGCAGAGGGGGAGAGATTTAATGTTAATAATAATTATTATCATATAACAAAATAAATAACATGTTATAAAAGTTATTATTCAGTTGTTACAAATTCTTAAAAGCACTTAAAACTCAACGTTAACCATTCTACTTAAGCCTATGTTTTATAAAATTACACAAAGTAAAAATACTCGAGGTACTTATGGACATTGAATGGAATGTGTCTTAGATATAAAGAATAAGAAAAAAGGTTTATAAGATTCTATTTGATCTTTGTATATAAAATATCAATAATTTCTAGAAAAAAGAATATAGGATGATTATCTAAAAACTTAGTGGGAGATTGAACTCGATAACTCTTTTTTATAAATAGAAAAAAATTTGAGAAACTCGATGTGATATCTGACTTTCTGTGATGTTATTTTTATGTTAATGTACTTACAAAGTTCAATAGTTATAAAATTTCTTTTACATAAATCTATTTCTCTCATTATTTTGTATAAAGACATGAGATTATTGAAAAGTGAATAATAATTACCAAAGATACAGATTATATAAATAAAATTAAAGATTATAATTGATTGTTTTTATTTATTATAAACAAGTATTATAGCATAAGTTCATTCTTATAGTAGCTAACTGGAAGTGAATATATTTATTATTGATTGTTATTATCAATTATTGTTGTAACTGCTCTCATTACTAATGCATATTATAGGTGGACATCTTTAGTGAGAAAGGTATCAAATTGCGATTGAGCCAGCAAATCAAGCATTTGGAAGTAAATCCTTACGATAGCCTTTCTACGCAGATGTGCATGGACTGCATCTGTGATCTTAAAATGAGTTACAAATTCTTCATGCAGATCAAAAAGGCCGAGGTAAAACTCAAATCTATTCACGTCAACTTGACAACCGATAACGTCACAAAAAAAGCGGAACCGATTAATGAGTCTTTGATAACAAAACAGATAAAGCAACCATCCTCTTTAGGTAATGTACATCTTTGTATTTTTCATATTCTTTTTATCATATTTTTTGATCTATTTTTGATATATTTTTATAGCAAATATTTATATATTATATATATAGAATCTTCTTTATATTATTGATATAAGAGTGAGATAATGGGGTGACGGGGGGGGGGGGGGTATAACTCTTGCACGTGTACAGAGTGTTACTTAGATGAGTTTTGCATATTTATGAACCATTTTAATGGACATAGCTACATATCTCAAACTTGACATCTTACAAAAAAATATTTTCAAAAAAAGTTATAAAGAGAAGGGAGAGAGAGAGAGAGAGAAAGGGGGGGGGGAAAGGAGAGAGAGAGAGTTTGAGAAAGAAAAACATGCTGATACATATTTTACTAAAAATCTTATGTAAAAAGTGAATATTTATATTCCTTTAAGATATGCAGCTGTTTTTATTAAAATGGGACACTCTGTAGAATTCTTTTCTTTCAGATTGTACCATCAGATTGTGCACTTATTGGACATCCTCCATATCTACAATATCTGTACAGAATTTTCTTAAGATTGACGATATTTTTTTTGAGCTACTAATCTATTGGATCAATTTGGAATGAATTCTTTTCTTAATCTAAGGAAAGGAGGAGGTCACTTTTTTATAGTCTTCAAAATTTTTAGGATATGCAATAGAACAAAGTATTAAATCACGATTCCGCTGAAGTAAAATCTACTCGAAATTGAAGAATTTGTTATCCATTTGTAGCTTCCACATTTAGCTTTCAGGAAGCTCTTAATTTTTTATCACTTATACCTGAAAACCTGCTATCTAATGCCTGTAAACGTTTTTTAAATGAATAAATAATACAAAATTGTCCAAAATATTTGTAGCTCAACGAAAATAGAGTCCAATTTTTTTATAACTTGCAAATTTGACTTTTAAAACATCAATATTTATTTAAAAAAAGAAATAGAAATATCTTGCAGAAATAAAAAAATTTCCTTTTTTCAGAAACAAAGCAAGAGCGCCAATCACTTTCCACAATCCAAGAAAATTCATCTTTATCATCAACAAAGCAAGAAAGCCAAACAATTATGAAAAATCAAGAAGACAACTCTGCTCCCAAAATTTGTGCTATCTTTTCATTGAATAACGAGTCAAAGATGGAAGAGGAAGAAGCACGGGTGGGCGGAGGAATCTTCGAGGAGATAGCAGAGGGAGAGGACGAAGAATCCATCGAAGAATTTGATCCCGAAGATCCGGCTTTTCAGGAAGATGAAGAAGAAGAAGAAGAATTTTCAAGATCTCCAGCCGCTGTTTATAAGTATGATATGTTGGCAAAGTCTTATGTGAGAGTGGAAGGAGGTGAGGAGGTAATCTCCATGAAATCTGGGATTTCCCAGACTTCAGAGGGTGAAGGAGGAGACAATCAAAGAGAGGGAATGAGACAACCAAATATCCTGAAAAGAAGATTATTGATGTCAACAACAACGAAAAGTTGGGAGAAGGATGAGATGCAGAATGAGGTGGAGAGTACTCCGAGGGAGTGCAAAGTGCAAAAGTTAGATTTGAATAATCCACTGAGTGTAAACAATACTCCACACGAGGACGGAATTATGTATGTGACTGTAAAAGGATCCAAACCCAACGAGATTTTGTTGGTGAAGGTGAACGAATATGTACAGTGGTATTTTATAATAAGTATAAAAGATTGATGACGATTTTAAGTATAATGTGTTTGTGTTGATGATTGAGTAAAATTGATTAAAATTTAATAAAATTTATTTATTTATTTAATTATTATTAACGATTATATTAGTATTAATTGTTTTAAAATTATTTATTTTTATTTTTATTTATTTTTAAAATCCAAGAAATCTCATTTTATTTGCGTATATCCATAATTACATTATTGATATCATAATTATATTTTTCATTTTTCTGATCTGTAGGTCAAGAAAATGGACAAACCCATGGAATCAAAACGTATAGCATCCTCCACCGATCTCAAGCCCGTTGAACGTTTCCTCAAACGCTATGAGCCCCTGGCATCGCGGGATTCCTTATCTCGACGCTCTGATGCCCGCGAGCAAATAATTGAGGAGCAAATCGAAGAATATAAAAAGAAACGCGAGAAGGTCCTCGGAAATCAATCAGCAAAGACCTTTACCGTGAACGAGACGCAAAAAGAAGTACAAGAAGAAAAAATTTGGACTACATCAAGCCCCAAAAAGGTGGAAAAAGAAATAATAGTTTCAACAAAAGAAGATGAAGAGAAAGAGAAGGAAGAAGATGTGGAAGAAAGTGAAAAAGTCAACGAAAGTCAGGAGAAGGTTAATGATAGTACGAAGGAATATATTTTGAAATTATCAAGAGAAAAACTGAAATGGGAAGAGGCAAAGCAGAAGAAAGAAAGTCTGCAGAACCAGGAATCAGACGAGACATATACCGAAGGCAATTTAGAGAAATTGATGAGAATCTTGGGAGAAAAGGAAAAGAATTTGCAGGTAATTTCTGTATAAACTCGAATTCAATGTGCTTTAAATACGTAAAAAAATAAATCCTACGAAAATTGTTAAGCATGAGAGACTTATTAATGTGTATCTTTTGCATGACAGCTCAATTCTTATTATCATTAATGCATGTAAAGAGATACATTTGTATCTTTTTTTTAATTACAGCTTTTTTAAAACTTTATGAAATAGTTAATATTTTCAGTATTATTTTGGGTAATATAAAATAATTCTAAAAAATTAAATTTTTTTTAATGTAATTTGTAAAAATTCTTGTGTGTGAAATTTATATCATTAAAAAGAAATGTATAGCAGGCATTTTGCGAATTCATCATTGCATCTACAGAAAGAATAGGATCATATAGGAAATTAAACACTATTAAGACTTTGAGTTTGTTTTCTTTATTATATTTTGATATCATTAATTGTAAGCGACATACAAATGTGGCCTATTTGATTTGATGTGTGATGCTGCAAATAAATTTTTATTTATATCCATTTATATTATTTGCTTTTCTCTTTTTTTCAAATTTGATATTTTTTTTATCCCTATTTTTATTCTCTCTTATAATTATATTTATTCTCTCTTCCACAATTTTTTTTTTTTTTTTTTGTTATTTCAGGAATTCCAGGAATACTTGAAGCAGCGCAAGATCGTTCTTACTCGTCTCAAGGACGAAGACGTAATCTCTCTCTATGAAGAACGTTTCTCTATTACATTGAAATTACCTCCTAAACCCCTGCCGGATGTTATAGAGGTTCAATCATCTGTCAATTCGCTTTCTATAGAGCCTGATCTGGAATGTGATTACTGTCCGGAAACTTTTTCCAATCGCGATATTCTCGAAGAACACCTCAAAGTTCACGACTATCGCATCCTTCACTATTGCGATGACTGTGAGGAAGAATTTCCAACTAACAAAGCGAAGAGAAATCATAATGTTATTTGTGTAAGAAAATTAATTTGCAAATATTGCGATCTACTTTTGGATTCCAGAGGGAAAAAACGTCAACATGAGCAAAAACATATTGATGCTCTTTATGGACAACTTTGCGAAGTTTGCGGAGAAAGGTTCAAACATCAGGGAACTCTGGATCAGCACCTGAAAACACAACATACGATTTTAGAGAAAATTTATCAGTGTCCAAAATGTCCAAAAAAATTTGCTTTTAAGCAAAAACTAAGTTTTCATCTAAAATCGGTACACACAACTTTAAGAGCATATCTTTGTGAAGATTGCGGTGCAGATTTTAAGAATCCTGCGAGTTTAAGGCATCATAGAATCAGAAAACATCAACCGGTCGGAAACAAGAGAGAATGTCCCGTTTGCAGGAAATTAGTGCCGTTTTATAGTTTATCCAAACACATGCACACGCACAAAGCTTATAGTATTCAGTGCCCACATTGTGACAAGATGTTTAAAAATAGCTCGACTTTGAAGCAACATGTGAGGATTCATGAAGATCAAAGACAATATCGTTGTGACACTTGTGGGGTTGGGTTTAATCGAAGGGATGGTTTGAGACTGCATATGAAAGTGCATGAAAAAACGGGTAGTAGAGGCTTGAAAGAATGTTCATGCCAAGTTTGTGGAGAAAAATTCCCGAATCACTCCACCTTGGTGATTCATAGGAACAGAGTGCACAAGGATGGCAGACAATATACATGTCACATTTGTAATAGGTCGATGATTTCGACGAGATCGCTCGAATGGCATATGTCACATATCCATAATGAGTCGATGCCAGGTAATGTGCGTTTTGATGTGGAAAATATCAAGTTGGCATCCAGTATCTTTAAAATCTTTTTACTTAATCATTATAAAATATTATCTGAAATATATTAGGAACTTTAGAACAAAGAAGAGCCAGAATTTTATCAAAATTCTAAAAATATGTGGATGTAAACTTCCTGAATATCAAAATTTATCTATTAAATTATCATCTAAAATATTATCTGAGAACACTTTCTCTCAAAGTATATTAATTTAATTTTTTGGAACTAAGGAATCTCTAACAATGAAACCTAAAAGAGAAAACTCTATTTGTTTAATAGAAAATACTTTCTGAAAAGATAGATTTAAAGTGTTTTAAGTAAATTTTTTATAAATCTTAATGATATAAAATATTTAAAAATGTTTGTTTCTTTAAATATTATAGCCCTTACATTATCCTTAAATTTTTTTTTCTTTTTTTTTGCTACATTCTCACATTAGTATAGGAAAATATAATTTTATTAAATCGTATAAACATTGAGTATTCAATTATTTTTATTACTTATTCGGTTAACGAAATATGTTTAATATATGTAATAGTAAAATACAATATATATATGTATGTATGTATGTATGTATGTATGTATGTATGTATGTATGTATGTATGTATGTATGTATGTATGTATGTATGTATGTATACAGTTAATAATATATAATATTTATTATATAAAATTAATAATATAAACGTTCGTAGATAATCATTTTTCTTGCAGGTGTTACTCGCGACGAGTCCGGTCCACCTGAAAAAAAACGGGTTTCCTGTTATCACTGTAATAAGACTTTCAAAACGGAGATGATATTGCGTACACACATCAAAAACACTCATATGGAAAAGGATCCAATGAAATGCTCTGACTGCGACGAGACTTTTACATCCGAAGTACGTCTACGGCATCATATGATGGTCGCGCACAACCGTCTCGAGGGCACTTTGGCGTGTCCCCACTGTCCGAAACGATTCGTGAATCAATTAAGGCTAAAGACTCATATGATTTCTCATTCTGAGGAAAGGCCGTATACTTGCGAGATTTGCGGTTTCAACTTGAAGACAAAGATCCAGTTGATTAAGCACCATCAGAATCGACACAGCGATGAGAGACCCTTGCAGTGCAGGTAAATGGATTATAATTTCAATAGAGATTAATTTTTTGCGCTATAGGTACGTGATACAAAATTTAAATATATTATAAATCATTCCAAGATTATTTCCAATTGCCATTATTTCAAATTGTCTCAAATACCACAATATAAAAGACTATATTAACTAGTATAATAATATATTTTTGTGTAAAATGTATGTTATAAATTGAATTTTGCAGGTTCTTATAAATTTCAGGATTTAATCTAATCTTTTAAGAATTTTTATATTGAAAAGTTTTTAATGCTCAATTTTATGAAATTTATTAAATCTATAGAATATAAATATTATAGTCTGTCGCATAAGAATAGTTTATCGCATTAACATATCGAAAAAATTATTATTTTTGAAAAACAGAAACAAATTTTTTAAGTAAATTAAAGAAGCTCTGTGTATGTGTGTGCGTGCGTGTGTGTGATTGCTCTATTACGCTTTTAATTAGAAAATCCCATTATCTACTGTTATTGAATATGGTCCGATAACATCAATTATAAAAATAACGCAATCGCTCGTGTGGCAAAATGAAAAAGTTAGAAAAATGATATTTGTATTCAATAATAACAGCAATAGGCTCAGAGTACTAACAATACCAAGTGGGGAAACTTGTAAATAAAAACCAAAGCGCAGTTATTAACGCGCAAACTTTTTACTGTCAAATTTCAGCAATAGGCTCAGAGTACTAACAATACCAAGTGGGGAAACTGGCAAATAAGAGCCAAAGGGCGATTATTGGCGCGCAAACTTTTTACTGTTAAATTTCAGTAATAAGTATGCATTAAAAATGTACGTTTCGGACCATTTTTTGGTCCATCTTCAGCATTAATAACAAAATATAAAAATCAATTTTGTATTAAAACGTACATTTTTAATACATACTTGTCACTGAAATTTAACAACAAGTTTACGTACCAATAAGCACGCCTTGGCTCTTATTTGCCAGTTTCTTCCCACTTAGTATTGGTATTTGTATTGTCATACATTTATTATTGACTCACCATCTATATATGTTGTTTGTTCAATCTTTTAGATATTGTTCCTGGCGGTGCAAGCAGGTGAGTGCCCTTGTCTGTCATGAACGCACGCACACCAACGAGCGTCCGTATTCGTGCAGTGTGTGTCGGCAGCGCTTCAAATATCTCGGCGATAAAAACAAACATGAGCGGCGTCACGAAAGCCTTGGCGGTTCGGGCTTCAAACGCATTGTACCCGGAAGGAATATCAAACCAAAAGTACGCGCCGACGATTCCTCTGGATCCGAGCAAGATCAGAGCTCAATCAAGGATTCTGTTAATCAGCAGGACATCCAGATTGTTGAAGAGCAATACGGAGAGCAACAGGAAGAGCAATATGAACAGGAAGAACAGATTGTCAAATTTGAACAAGAGCAGATTGTGAAGTTTGAGGATCCAGAAGAATATGAACAAGTGTATGAGCAGGTGAGGAACTATTTATTATAATTCCATTTTTAGATTTCTTTTTGAGTGAAGATGTTGAAAAATGCAGAAAGTGCAGCCATACGAGCAAATTTTATATATATATAACTTTTTTATGATTTTAAATGCAATGATCTTGTAATATAAACGCTAAAAATCTACTCATTTTAACAGCATTTTTTTGTGATACATTCTTTTTTTTCGGGGTTATTTCGATATTGTTGCTCTTCTAGGAGTATGAAGAAACTTCGAGAGAGGCATCAGAGGCTACAGAGGTGATCATGAACATAGAGGATTCCAATGTGTACACGGAGGAAGTTACGGCCGACAATATGGAGCCTAGTCCTGAAATCATGACAGACGAAATTATGACGAACGATATTCTGCAATCCGGTACCGCTGTAGTGCATCTACAACGGCAGGACGATACGGGGAAGATTCAAGTGATACCTGTGATGCTATCCTTGCCTGATCTGTCTGACACGAATGCCGAAGTTAATCTCGCAACCGCGTCTATCGTGTATAACAATTAGATTTAATGTTTTCGGTTTATAGAATCCTGTATGAATTGAATGTACTCATAAAAGATCCCTGGATCTTTAAGCCTTCAGATCCTGTTTAACCTCTTTAAGCCCCGAAAGATTAAATTTTTAGTTTTTTGGGTATGATGGGATACACAAGAAATGCTATAAAAAATATCAGGATTTTTATTTTAGCTTGAATTTCTTTATTTGTTGGAGAAATATTATAGAGTCTAAGAAATTCTCCAGGATCTAAAAAACATTCTGATATTTTTCTCAGATTCTAAGATATTCTTGGATTTAAGACAAGATTTCTCAGATTCTTTGGATTTCTTCAAACTTTATAAAGTTCTTGTAGAATCCTAACTTTTAGAAAGATTGCGAAAAGAATCTTCAATTCTTACATCCTTAGTGATCCCATCAAGGCAGGATATAACATAGGATATACTCTATGGTAGTATTCTAATTCGGACCTTCCTCATGATAAGAACAATGTTAGAACAATTTATGCAATTTATTTAGAGCAACTTATATCGAAGAAAACAAAAAAAATGAAGAAATCAGTTTAAGATTCCATTTCTTATTGCTAAAAATTAATTGATTTTGACATATATTGTAAGAAAAAAATTTACATAATTTCTCACTTCTAATATATGATATTGGAGAAAAACCAGAAGTTTTAGAAAAAAAATTGCAAGAAAAATATGAGATTTTTTACGGTGGAAGATTATAAAATGCAAAGAAAGAAGGAGAAAAATAGAAACTCTGGTAAAGAAAAAATTTAAAAAATCGAAGATTCTAAAGTGCAAAGAAGAAGAGAGATTCTTAAAAATATTTATTATACCACATAAAAACACAGCATATAAAAGAAAATAATTGCAAGTTGTAGAAAACAGAAAAATATGCGAGACTTGAAGATTGAAAGTTGATGTAAATGAGAAAACGAGACAAAAATTATTATGAAGACAAAAATTAAAAACTGGAGACTATAAGATGCGAAAAAGAAAAAAATGGAGACTCTCGAAAACGCTTAGTTTGTAGAATAGCATAGTATGTAAACTATTTTGTATAAATCAGTGAAAAAGTGTAATGTATTCGTGCATTTGTATGTGCGTGTATGTATGCGCGCATGCGCATGTGTGTATGTGCATGTCGCAAGCCATGTATGCGTGTTATGTATTAAATAAGTCATTCTATATCACATTATCTTTGTATCATTCTTTGTGAACAATGTGTTGCATATTTCTCCCTAACAAACTATCAGTCTGTTCTTTTTATCTGCATTTTTTTCAACTTTCGTCCTTTTAGAGTGACAGACTATTGTTATATTATCTCATCATAATCACATTATCATTGTTTTAATTTTTGCTCGTCAAATCCATGTAACATCTGAATCTACCACCAATTAGGCGTGCGAGCAATATTATTTTATTATTATTAGTTTGTATTGTTATTACTATTATTATTATTGTTATTATTACTATATTTTTCTCTATTTTCTTCTTTTTTCTATGTCTAGGTGTATACTTATTTCATTTGAATAAAAAAAGTGCAAGAAAATGTAGCTAAAGAAACTTGTATATATATGTAATTACAAAAGTCCTTATCCATCAAACACACAGGATCTATTTCTTTCAGCTGTATTTCTTGCATTTTTGCTTTAAATATAAATATTAAATATATTTATCTATCTTTAAGAGCAGAAAATACAACTAAAAAGATATAGTTCTAACAATAGGATCAATATATTTTAAGCTGCATTTTTGCTCTTCTCCTCTTTTCTTCCTCGTCGTTCCTTTCTTCCTATCTTTTCCCTTCGCTTCTGCCTATATCAAGATTTCGAATTTTTCTATAAAAACATCTTTTTCTTTTATTTTAAAATTTAACGTTGCAAAAAATGTAGTAGCAGCTACAACGAAACAGACTTTATATGCTTTTCAGTATATTATTGTATATTATTCAATATATTACTTATATTTTACGGATATTATAGTCCAGATGATTCTAAGCTGGATTTATATATGTTAAGCCTTAAAGATATGACACAATGTACAATACAAGATAAGACAATGTGTACTTTCTTTTTAACTTTGCTAATCATTTATAGACCCCCCACACAACACACACACTTTCTCTTTTATCAGAATAAAAACTAAAAATTTTTAAATAAGATCACGAAAGTCGATATATTTTACGATAAATCTCTATTTCTAATACATTATATGTAAGTATAAAATTGATGAAGGGAAAAATAATTAAAGATAGTGACGGATTTGTATTTCTGAGGAATTGATTATCTCAACAAAATTAATTTAAACAACATTAGTATGTTAAAAGCTACATTTTAAAATTAGATACATATAATCAAATATTAGCCAACATAATTTATTTGTATTAACACATAATTATTATTTACAAATAGAAATTTTAAAAATGAGACAAAGAAAATTGAACATATTACATTTTTCAAGAACCAATACTTGTAGCGTGTATCTGCATCTCGGTAACCTGAAGATTAAACTTTTCGTTAGCGTATAGATATAGAGCCGTCACTAGTTAAAGCTCTTGATTACTCATTCTACAATTAAATTATCATATTAGAAGTAAAAAAAATCATGATGTTTTCCACTAAATCTAAATTAATTTGTTTTTTGCATGTCAACTCTTTTATTCTCGATAGAATACATATTTATATCCGTACAGCACAGAACATTACAGCAACATTGCTGCAATGTTTTGTGCTGTATGACTGAAATGTGTGAAAAAATTTATTTTCAAGGGAGTAGAGAAAGGGGGCAAGAGATATACTCAAGATTTAATAAAGATAAACCGCAATCACAATTATTGTAAGATTTATTCTCGTTATAAATATAGGATACATGAGGATTGAATTTATTTATAAGACGATTAAAAATTTTTCGCTGTTTTACCAATCTATACTGTCGAACATGCGTTATGTTAATTTAGGCTTCTATTGAATAAAAAAATTTAATATTTAAAATAGTGATTTATTGTAAGAAAAACCGTTTATAGTGTCTATAGCGACTTGCTTCAAATAATTAACGTACTTTTAACGTCGCCGCCACAGTTCTACCGCATCTACATCTTTGATATATTTAAAATGGACAAAATGTGAGTGTTTTAAGCAAATATACCGAACATAAAAAGATAAGACAAAAGAAACAGTTTGTTTCATATTTTTAATACAAAAAATTATATATATAAATAATAATAAATAATATTGTAAATTTTAATATTTTAAAAGATTTGTGTATTATAGTATAGTGTATATAAAAGAAATAAATCTTTGACTGCTGCAATTACAGACTTCTATATATTATATAGAAGTCTGTGGCTGCAATGCTTATGAAGTTAAATCTAAAATAATTTGGAAGAATAAAATCCACAACACATATTTATGGGTGTAAAAGCAAAAAATTCGATACAATTTATAGTAATAACACAGTATATATATATATACACGCACAAAGCAAGAGAGAGAGAGAAATTTAAAAATCCTTAAAAATCAGGAACTTAAGTAGATCTAAAAATTTGATTAAAAAAATATATACTTATTTTTATCATCAATAAAAAATAGAACTTTTTATTAATGATAATTACTTATTAAGACTTTTTATTTGTACAAAATAAAACTATATTTTACACATAAAATAAAATCATAGTGAATATACCAGATGATGCATCCAGAAAGGATATAAGAATCTTTCATATAGTATAGAAAGATTGCAAAAATACTGCAGAAATATTTTATATATATAGTAATGCAATGTTGCCATAAATGTACAATAATGTGATATAGTGAGTAATTACAATTTTTCAAGGGATAAACTTGAGAAACATTTAGGGATACTTAACATAAGAAAATATTTGCATTGTTCTTTTTCATGTTTTCTAGCTTCAATAAATGCAAATTTAATATACAATATTGTCCAAGAAATGATAAACCGTACTTCTTTTGACCTGCAAATTATTATTTTCAAAAGCCAACTTTGAATCAATTTTTCATTATCAAAACTTTGATGAAAGAATTATGCTATTTAAAAAATGTTTGATGTTGAATGTTATGATAAATGCACTTTAAGTAAGGTATCATAAAAATTCATTCTAAAATTGTCTGAAAATCAAACTCTTGTTACCTATTAGCAAGTCCAAGTTTATTTTTTGTCTAGACTTTGGTAGTATTGCACAAGCACTTGCCATGCTTTAGGTGCCATAAAACCATTGGGAGGATTTTGACCTATCTTCGCTAATCCTGCAAATACGAAATAACTAATCAAACTATAGTATTGCAATGTTGCATATACCAAATGATAAAATTTGAAAATTTTAATTTTTTCTGGAACTTTCCTCAATTTTACAAATATTTTTAAATGATCGAGTATTATACATATATCGTTACAATAATGTTATATTTTTACAAAAAAGTTTGCTTGTGTCTTTATGAAATAATTACAATTTTTCGAGTTAATTAATAATACAATAAATTTATGATAATGTAAATAATGGAGAAATTGATCTGACCTTAATACGCACGCGCGTATGTGTTTGAAAAGTTTATATTTTAAGTTTCATCATTCCTTTTCCCAGCTTTTAATTTGTTTATTTTATTTTGTGTTATTTGTTTTTACTGTGTGTTTGATTTAATATATATATTATATTATATATTATTTTTGTTATATATATTGCTTTATTTCACATATAATATAAAAATTATGTGTTATAGAATGTTGCAATCAGTCACCTTGCATCTCACCTCGCATTTTTGTTCCTGAAATAAATTCAAAGTCTTGCTTTCGTTCTGGCTCGTAGAATGCCATTCTGCCATTTTGCATGTCATAGGCGGCTACCTTGAAGGGGATTATTTCGAGATTATGAAGACCTCGGGCCACAGAGAGAACCCTTGCGCCATGATTAGGATCGTACAAGTTGCCATCAGGCGTAGCATCTTTATTGGGATGCGGTATACCCGCAGGATCTCTGCCTACAATATAGAAGTTGGCGCCAGCATTCATCCTCGCCTTTGCATGCCACTGCACCTGAAAAATAATTGGACATTTTTATTATTACTTGAAGTTTAAATGGTGTGTATATAAATGTAAAGTGTAGAATACAGCAGCTATAGAATGCAGCAAAAGTTAGAGCTAAAGATAAAACCAAAATTAGAAAAGATGGAAAAAAGAATTAAAACTAATAAAAAATAAAACTAGAAATAAAATTAATTAATTCAACATTAAAGCTCATGAAACTCCTGTTGTTAGAGTTTCACCTCAATTGGTCCAGCATACATCATTGGGCTGGGAAAGATAGCTAGCAGTGTGGAATCAGCATCTAGCACACCTTCATCCAAAATTGCCTTATGTTGTAGAATCCTGGTATATAAAGGCACGTCATCATCTTTTGTCCAACCACCTAGTGGGTGAAGTAAGAGCACTGGATTTTTGAAACCTCGCTCCTCCAGCAACCGTCTTCTCGTGTCCTTCATGATGAATAGCAACATTAGATTTGGGTATTTTGATATATGGCAACATGTGTGATTTATCATGTATTGCATAACACATTAATTTCTTTTCAAGTTGTCATACTAGAAATGCAATCATATACCTGCATAAGCAACACATGTCCATTATGAATGGGATTTCTTAATTGAAATGCAAACACGGCATCGGCTTTCATCATTCGACACTTGGCGCGAATCTCGTTCGGTGTTAACCTATATTTGTCGAGTCCGTCGTGCCACCTAATTCTCTCTAGCACTTCGAGATCGCCGCCCATCAGCCAATCGCCAGAATCATGAATCATCCTGATATATGGATGGCCCAAGTTGTTGGTGCCAAACTGCCAGCTGCAACGCTCCTCTTTTCGATGAAAATAAAATTCTGGTCTTCGTAGAATTGCCAAAATTTTGCCTTTATGTCTCAAGGTTACAGCAAAAGAACTCTCCAAGCGATTCTTATCAGTTGTGTTTATCGCGAGAACAATTGGTATTGATTGGTTCACTTCTTTGCTGCCTTCGAGCAAACATCGCAAATGTTGAGCCTTGAATGAAGTTAAATAATAATATCTGATATGAGATAATTAAGTTTGTAGACAAAATTACTTGACTTACTTAAGGCTTAAGGCTTAACGACTAACTTCACTGAGCTGAGATTGCATATACACGATATAACTATACATCACAGTGTGTGTATACCTGAAGATACTGATGTTCCCTCATAAAGCCGGTTAATGGCGACGCCCATCCTTCTGCCAAAATCTGCAACCATTGCACATCAAGTTCACTGATCTCCACACATTGCAGAGTTTCTGCTTCCATTTTCGTGGAAGCCAGTTTCGAATCTGGCACAAACAGTTCTCTGATTGGATTTGAAGGTTTTTCAATATGCGGAATAATACGATGTTTCTCTAAAAATTCAATTACAGTCGCAGCAGATTCTTCAGGAGTGCAATCCTCGGTTTTAACAACTAAATCAGATTTTGTAGGCCTCTCGTACATTTGATCAATGCCAGTAAAGCCTTTAATGGTGCCTTGTCGGGCTTTTTTATAAAGACCCTTGGTGTCACGAGCTTCACAAACCTGCAAGGGTGTATCTACGAACACTTCGAAGAAGGGCAAGTCAGCTTCTCTATGAATTTGCCTTGCCATCTGTCTATCTTCCTCGAAAGGCGAGACGAAACTGCAGAGACAAATTTGTCCGCTATCGGCGAAGAGTTTAGCTACTTCAGCTACTCTTCTAATATTTTCCTTTCTATCTTGTTTGCTGAAGGTCAGGTTGCAGTTCAGACCACTTCTGACATTATCGCCGTCTAGACCGTAAGCTGGAATACCGTGGTTCACTAAGATAGCCTCTACCTGGAACGAGATGGAAGTCTTGCCAGCACCTGAGAGTCCAGTTAGCCATACTGTGCAACCTCGAAAGCCTCGAATATTGCCAATTGCTTGCCCCCGTTTTGCTCTGGATACATGATGCGCCTGTTCTGATACGTTTGCACAGGTCTAGAAAAGAATTTTTTAAATTTATTTTATTTCAGTTAAATATAATTAATTTCATTTTTTTTTTTAATATTATTGATTTCATATGCAACAACTCAAAAGAAATAGATTTAAAGTCATTGCGAATGGGTAAATACATGATGTAAGAAAATTTTTTATTTCCTTATTTTTTTATTTCTTACATCATGGGTAAATAAAGATAGATAGATGATTCGATAGATAAATAGATACGTACAATAAAATCTCTCTATTCTGTTCCTCGTTATTCCTAACCTCTCTATTCTGAATCAGCTGTTTTTCTGTAAACTGAAACTTTTTTTTTGCATTATTTCAATATCCCTTCCTACTACAAATTTGCCACATGACTACATCGTCATATATAGGGCACGTTCCACTTAACGCCCACAACGCTCACGGTATCATTTCATCTATGGCCGTGTTCCGATATTCACTGCCAGTACTGAAAATCTATAGTTTACGTGACATATACTATAGATTTTTAGTAATGCAGTGAATATCGTAACACGGCCCTTATTGTTCACCGAAAGTTAAACAAAGACAGATGATGCTCGCGAGCGTTGCGAGCGTTAAGTTGAACGCGCCCATAGAGTGAGAAACTGAATAAAAGACAGATCTGAACCCATCAAGCGAAGGAAGCAATAATGGGTGCTTTCCAGCTACGGAACACAGTGATACACTATGTGACACAGTGTTATACAGTGTCGACTTGTAGCTGGAACGCTGTTCCGATCTATATGCTCAGTTGTGTCGTAAGCCTGCGGCACACGGTACGATTTTGCGTACTAGATCGCATGCGAGACATTTTGCTAGCAATTATAATGGCTATGCAACTTGAAATATGTGCTGCGTGTTGCTGTGCGTGCTAGCATGCTAGATTTTGGTAATAGGTTCGGTGCTATATTTCACTATGGTTTTGTTGCTAGCTGCAGACGATACTACGACAAAAACGCAAAAAATAAAAATAATAAATATAAAGACAAAAGTTATATATACATATAATGATGTATATGACATACACTATAGATTTTCAGTACTGGCAGCGAATATCAGAACACGGCTATTATTACATCATGGTTTATAGCATACATATTATTACATCATGCTATAAACTGCATTTGGGCAACAGGTTTTTACAGGTATTTACAGAGATTTACAGGCTTATGCCAAAAGAAAAAAAAAGAAGAAATTTATACGTTGTTAATACTAATATTGACGCTTTGATTGTTAGTAAAACTGCGAAGTCGAATAGTGATAGTGTGAAAACGTTTATAGTTACAATGCACAATAATTTTCTTTCTTTGCCCGCTTTCCTTTGATAACTCAAACATTGATTAATTTCTAACTAGATAGGGCGATCATGCATTACCAAGATGCCAACGCCGTTTGGAGACTTCAGATTCCTATGGAGTGCGTTCTGATTCCATTATCCTCTCAGACACTTTTCGTTAAACTCCGCCCATCACCCGCTCACCCGACTATCACCCATCGGGTGAAGAATTGGAACACAGCCTAAGATAATCTGCACGTGTGAAGCCAAAACTAGTAACACTCTTATGATTGGAACATGTAGAATACTTCGTTAAACAGCACGCAACGAATCAATTAACAAAATCAGTACGAAAAATCGTACACGTGTGCCGCAGGCTTTATACAATGTCGCCTGTATACGTTGCTGGAAAGCACCCAAATGACATTTTCAGTCTGTGAAAGTGTCACATTTAGAACAGTAGCCCTATCCTGTAACTTTTAACGACAAATTCGCTATCGTTACACGTCGCTGCGCAGCTATTTTCCGATATGTTTCAGCTGCGCAACGACGCGTAACGATAACATCATCGTTACGAAGTTAGAGAGTAGGCCTACAGAGTGGGAATTATGAGGAGATTTCTCAGAATAACGGAAGAATCTGATTTTATTCGGTTTCAACAATTCTAATAAGTATATATCTATCTTGTGTTCCAATTTTATTGTATATATTTCAGTTAAGTCATTAAATCCATTTATTTAAACGTTGAAATTTATCGAAGTATCAAATCTTAAAGGGATTACTTTTTGAAAGTGATGATGACAGCAAAATTGGTACTTTGAATAATCCAGATAGCAAAATGCTAGCAGCATGCGCGCAGATTGGCAGCAAATTTAATCAGAATTCCATGCCAAAACCATAGCCATCTGTGACCACATTAAGCTCAGGTTTTGTCGACAGAGCCTGCTGACAGGCAATGTGAGCAGGAACAGACTTGGGAAGTTCTCGAAAGTGACATTTTGTATAGAAAGTTCTATTCTACATTTATTTTTTCCACATTCTACTCCATATATATATACATATATATAAAATTATAAATATTAAATGTAGGCATATATTATATATATTCTTTCAGATTATCTTAATTTCATATATTATGTTACGCGCGCGCGCACGCGCGCGCACACACACACACACACACACACACACACACACACACACACACACACATATACAGCTAAAACAATATAATAACGAAAGCATCACCCTTCCCTTAAATTTGTTTATTTTTACTTCCACCTACTGTACTTTTTTGTATTTTTCGTATCTAAAACGAAATATTTACACTTTGGAAGGAGAAATAGACACATACACACTTTGTGTGTGTGTGTGTGTGTGTGTGTGTGAGATGCTGCAGATATTGCTAAAGCTAAAGCGAACAAATCTAGAGAGAGAAAGAGAGAAAGAAAGCATTAAATATCACGTCTATATGTATTTATATATATAAAGGCAAATAAATTATTTCTCTCATTCTCTGATATTAATTTAATTTCATATTGTATGGCAGTAGAAGCGATATTGCGTGACACACCTACCATCATCTTTTTATTTGGCGGTGGCGTGGCGTCTTCATTGCTCAATGACATGACTGCAGTTATGATGAATATATACGTGGCACTCGCGTACAGCGCGATCGAAAGTAATACTGAATGATGCTGCCTCATCCATCGACGGTGGCTTACTAAACTATACTAAACCTGAACCGCGTGAACACACATTACGGCAGGAGCGGCGCAAAGCGCGTGTCATAGTCTTAGGAGAGGGACTCAAAGTAATGGGATTATTGATATATATAAGATGTTTTAATCCAAGCACTGTGTTTGTGTGGAAATAAATATATGTATCTATTAAAGAATATTTTATTATAAAATATACAAATTTTTATATGTTTGATATAAAATAGATTACAATATAGTAAAATGATTTGTGTATTGAAACCAAAATAGATATATTATGTATAATATATTTTATATATAATTTTTTTGGGATTATTATATTAATGGACGGCAGTGCGATATGTAACAATCTTGTTTTGTAAAGAATATTCATTATATATTAACATAAATTTATACTTATGTCTATCATATATCATAAATAATAACTTGAAAATATAAAACAAGAACTCTTGCAGTAAAGATTGTTTAGGTACTTTGAAAAGATATCTAATATTGAAATATCAAAATACTTTTCAAATGGCAAGTTAATAAATTTCATAATAAATTTTATGTGCATACGAATACAATATGATACATAAATATAGATAAAAACATGTGTGCACTACTTCTTTTTTGCTAGTATTGGAAAAAAGATAACAGTGCATGCTTTTATTACTACATTGCATCATACCTAACTGTATAAACTTTTATTAGCTATTATTATTTGTTAGCATTAGTTGCTTCCTATTTGAAAAGTATCATAACCTCTACATATTAAAATTTTCACATTCAAATTAGTTAAAGAATATTGTAATTATTGTCATGTTACATGTCATTATAATGTAATGACAGATAATGATAGGTGTGTATCTTATAAATAATTCCTTTTTAGGGGAATTATTCTATTAAAATGCTTTAAAACAAATTAAATGGTTTTGTTTTTTAATTTAAATGTTTTTGTTCTATTAAAAATGCTTTTAAACATTTTGCAAAATATTGCGCAATAATCTCAAGATATGAAATATTTTATAGCAATTATTAAAGTTAGAAGCAATATTGGAACAGTTGTCTTCTCTGCACTGTTACATCTGTGATCAAAGTAACAGAAACACCAAGTAACTTCATCGTAATAATCACGATGGATATCTAATTGATGAATACTATTATTAACATAATGGCCTAATCGTACATCTTTAGCAGCAGGTCTACAACCTTCGTAATGATCTGCAGGAATATCTGTTCTAAAGCTACGTACAGAGCTTAGGCATTCACGTGTAATGATTGTCTCAGCTGAAATTTTCACAATTTTATATATATGTATGTGTATGATACATTATAT